TAGGGCGGCATTCTCGTCGCCGGTGCGGAGTGTGGAGAGGAAGAGGTTCTCGTGGATGGTCCATGTCTCGGGTGTCTCGCGCGAGAAGAGGAGCGAGAGGGGCCATGGGAGGTTCGACGTTGGTGTTGTAGAGAGGACGAGAGGGGCCTTTTGGGACAGCGCAAGGGCGGTGGGCGGCGGTATTTGTGCGGGTGGAGAGAGAAGGTTGGCTTGTGTCATGTTGGCGATTGTTTGCGTCGCGGACGGGTGTGGAGTGCGTGTCAATGGCGACAGAGTGTCTGGAGAAGCATGTGGAGTTAGGTAAGCCGTTGGGGATGTTGTCCCAAGCTTCCGCCGGCGAAACTAGCGGGCGTTCGGTAGTCTCGACCCCATCTGGAATCGACCAAGTGCACGTCAACCTTGTTGACACTCGTAGCTTTCGCTTTCGCTGCGGACGAGTGCATGCAACCCGATTTCACGTCGCTACACGCCTGCTCCATGACGACTGCATCCCAATGACGATGCCTAGTGGCCTACCACCTTCACCCTCACGCCGCCCGTCTACCCCTCCACGCGCGCTTCCCTACCCAGACACACGACTGCGCGACACTGCCTGAGCGACATCCAACATGTATATCTGACCCCACGCTCCCGGGCCTGCATCAACCAGTGACTGACCTCCTTGCAGGTTCGAGAAATCCCTCTTCGACCTCATTCGGGGCCTCCGAAACCACAAGGGCAGCGAACGCGAATACATCGCCGAGAGCATAAAAGAATGTCGCAAGGAAATAAGGACCAACGACATGGACCTCAAGGCCACGGCACTCATGAAGCTCACTTATCTCGAGATGTTCGGCCACGACATGTCCTGGGCTAGCTTCAACGTCCTCGAAGTCATGTCAAGCTCCAAGTTCAAGCAGAAGCGCACAGGATACTTGGCTGCAGTACAAAGCTTTCGACGAGATACCGAGGTCCTGGTGCTCGCAGAGAACCAACTCAAAAAGGACATCATGAGTTCGAGTCCACAATACATCGCGCTCCCGCTCGGAGCCATCCCTCACGTCATAAACCCGAGCATGGCCAATTCGGTTCTCTCCGACTTGATACCACGATTGACGCACTCGCATGCAATGGTCCGCAAGAAGACGGTCGTGACACTATACCGGCTGGCTCTTGTGTATCCGGAGACGCTACGACCTGCGTGGCCCAAAATCAAGGAGCGCTTGCTAGATGACAACGAGGATGCGAGCGTCACAGCGGCAATCGTAAACGTCGTCTGCGAGCTGGGATGGAGGAGACCCCAAGACTTCCTACCGCTCGCACCAAGATTGTTCGATCTCCTAGTAGAAGGGGGAAATAACTGGATGGCTATCAAGCTCATCAAACTTGTAAGTCTTGAGGTCATACTAAGAAAGGCTGCAGCTAACCAAACTTAGTTCGCAACATTGACTCCGTTGGAACCTCGACTTATCAAGAAACTGCTACCTCCGTTAACCAAGATTATACGGGAGACGTCTGCTATGTCATTGCTTTATGAATGTATCAGTGGTATCATTCAGGGTGGCATTCTGGAAGCCGTGGAAGGTACCGCAGAAGGCGACGAGGTAGCAAAGCTATGTGTCGGCAAACTACGAGGCATGATGATAATAGAAGGAGATGCAAACCGTAAGCTAATGTACACTGTTCTCCAACGTTCCGCTTCTCATCAATCTGCAGTAAAATATGTCGCACTACTCGCCTTCGAAAAGATCGTCAAATCACATCCATACTTGGTTTCTCAGCAGCAAGATGTCATCCTCGAATGCATCGACGATCCAGACATCTCGATACGAATGCGTGCTTTGGATTTGGTGGTCGGTATGGTCAATCCAGACAATCTCACAGCCATCGTGGGTCGATTAATGCGACAACTTCGGAATGCACCCATTGCGACAGCGGCAAGTGATCCTAACAACGACCGGGCCAGACTTACTGGCATAACGCCCTACGGTGATGATGATTCTGACGCAGAAGAGACCCTGCCGCAGCACGAACAGAAATCCGACCAACCGCCGCCGCTGCCAGATGATTACCGCATCAGCGTCATCAAGAGAATATTAGACATGTGCTCACGCGACACTTACAGCAACATTAGCGACTTTGAATGGTACATTGACGTCCTTACCCAGCTTGTCAGGGTATCGCCGGCAACAAAAGCATCCTCAGTTATGGAAGAGGAGGAAGAAGTAGAACATTCAGATGACATTGGTGGCGGCATTGGACATGAATTACAGAATGTTGCTATCCGGGTAAAGAGCGTCCGATCGGAAGCCATAGATGCCGCACAGTCGCTCGTGCTTGTTGATCGAAGAGATCAAATGTTCCCAGCATCTGGCAATGGCGGTCAAGGTGTACTGGAATACGCCGGTTGGCTTGTGGGAGAATACGCCAACTATCTTACTCGCCCAGAGCCGGTTATGACGTCCCTACTACACCCCTCTTCTCTTCAACTATCTTCGAGAACCCTTGCTGTGTACCTACAAGCAATACCTAAGGTCTTCTCTAGCATGGCTGGAAATGATCAGGTGTCATGGACTCCGGAGCGCAAAACATTAATGTCCCTACTCATGGCTCGAATCATCCATTTCTTGGAGCCACTCTCTACGCATCCCAGTCTAGAAGTCCAAGAACGAGCGGTTGAGTACCTCGAACTCATGCGTCTCGCTGCAGAAGCTGCATCTGGAACTGCTGCCAGCGCCGATCAGGACACGTTTACCGATCCACCCCTATTACTTACACAAGCTATACCTGCGCTGTTCTCTGGTGCTGAGCTGAACCCGGTCGCTCCTGGTGCTCAACGCAAGGTTCCGTTGCCCGAAGACCTCGATCTCGACACACCAATCAACTCCAATCTCCAGCATCTGCTCTACACAGCCGACACAGAAGGGTTTGAGACAGAGGAAGATGATGTCTATGCAGCCTACTCGGAGCCACCAACAGCATACGCGGAAGCTCCTACAGTTGCTGCACCGGCTGCAGACCGTCTTGATGCCCCGCATAAAGAACCGACATCATACCAGAACGCAACCGAGGATGAGTACCTGGATGCTGACATTATTGCGCGTCGGAAAGCAGAGAGGAAAGAACGCTACAAAGACGATCCATTCTATATCGATCCCGAAGCGGACAAAGGCAGCGGAGCAGTCACACCACTTAGTAGAATTGTCCGGGATGGCAATAGAGAGAACAATGAGTTGGACATCGATTCGATCCCGATTATGGAACTCAACCTCGATAGTAAAGGATCATCTTCTGAACATCTGCCACGTTCTCGGAGTCCGCGCAAGCCGGTGCGAAAGGTCGATATTATGGGCGATGAGACGCTTGGACCTGCAGCTCCAGATGCTTTGAGAGATGATATTGTTCGGCCACAGCCAGGAAAAGCAAAGAAGTCATTGTTGGATGTGGACAGCTCTGGTCTTGCAGCATTAAGCCTTGACGACGATGGTACATCGAATCGCAAGCTTACACAGCTCGATATTGAAAGGAAGGCCCAAGAGGATGCTGAAATGAAGAAGGCGCTTCAAGAAGTTGAGCGATTACGACTCGAGATGCAGCGAGCAAGTGAGAGGTTACATGTCAAAGAAGAGGTCGCAGTCAAGAAGAAGAAGAGAAAGGTTAGGAAGGTTGCCGTGGAAGGAGACGATCCAGCTGAGACGCCACCACCAGAGGCGGAAGTCGGCGACGAGGAAAAGGCAACGCCTATCAAGAAAAAGAAGAAGAAGAAGGTCAAGCCTGAAGGACATGATGAAGAAGTAGCTGAAGGCGAAGCCGATGGTGGGGTAGAAGGCAAAGTCAAGAAGAAGAAAAAGAAGAGGCGGACTGTTGTCATGGATGAGGGTGCAGATGCGCCAGAGGAGCAGTAGTTCAAGCACGTTGCAATGTGTCTTGATCTTGAACAGATAAGATTCCAAAACCTCAATACCATGATATCGGCTATTCCAAGCTCTCCCAATACCGCAATGCTGCCTCTATAACGCCGTTTGCCCTATGTAATTGACGCAAGAAAGTGGTCTCTAGACCTGCTACCCCTCCAAGCTCTTCAAAGCTTCTCTCCGCCGTGGTCACCGTTCGTGTGCCTTGTATGTCCAGCCCCCAAATCTTGACATTGCCAACTATAAGTCAAGGCTGAGTTTGTATTCGTCCGTTCGATAAGTAATGAATTACATCACATTACTCGTTCCTTTTAAAAGAAGAGCTTAAGGACCTCGAAAAGAAGACCGCCGACTAGTATGAAAGCAAGAACGACTACAAACATGTTAGTCCTCAGAATTCCGATTGAGGGCCATGGGTACGTACTGATCCAGAACCTGCTGATGGGGCTCTTCTGGGGCGCCCGCTTCTTCACTACAGGCTCTGTTGACACGGGTTGGCCCATCTTCTTCTCTTGCGCCTTGGCGAAACGCATGTTTGCCTGACGTTGTTGTGGTGTTTGCGCCTGGAGGCTACGTTAGTATCCCGTGTGTTGTATGCGACCAGGGGGTTTGGTTGCATGCGTTTCGAGAGGGTGCCGTACCATTTTGGTTTGTGTATGCCAGATGGATATATGGGGCGTTTAAGCGGTTCCGGGAACTGAAGAGCGGGTAGCGAGCGTGTAGTGTCTTGTGCACGAAGAAGAGAGAGAGAGAACGGAATAAGGGTTCAAGTTGTTTGGTGAACGTGTTCCTTTGGAAAGTGCATCGCGTGGACCGTGCACAGCGCTAGGGTACCGGCATTAGCTGGGTACGCGCGCGGAGATAATGAACGGAGGTTTATACCGTTTCTAGTCTGTCGACTTTCTTGAATTGCCATCGCACCGGTGCTTCTACATATCCCCGCTCCACCAACCTTAGCGCAATACCTGGTGTCGCGTATTCGCAGGACCATCACACTCGTCTTCTTCGCTCTCTCAACGCTCAGTCTCGCCATCTACTGGGGTTCATTCTAGCAGCGACCGAAGGTGCTTCAGAAGCGGGGATAAAAGCTGTTACCTTTGCGACAAGATGAATCACCTCAGAGCAACACGGACGATATGGGGTAAAAGCGCGACGATACCCAGAAGCATAGGACGAACATCACGAAGAACATATGTAGCCGAAGCACCACCGCCTCATCCACCCAGTTCGCCGCCAAACCCAAACTCGGCTCCTCCGCCAAAAGAGCCATCGCGGGTAGTACGTCATACTCCTAATAGCCCGTCAACACACACTGTTGCTCCTCGAAACTAACGAATTTGTTGCAGGGCGCATACTACGGCACCTTTGGCTCGCCCCTCCTAAAATGCTTCCTCGGCGCCCTCTTCACATACCAATTGTCGTACTACCTTTGGTATAAACTCGAAGCTATCGAAGAGACACACGACACCAAGGCCGAGATACGCGATTTGCAGGAGGAGCTTCGGCAGGCAATAGAAAAACAGCGTCTCATTGCGCAAGAGAAGTGGGGACAGGCCACCGAAGCTTTTGAGAAGGAGAAGGAGGAGTTTGGGCAGGCGGTTGATGCTGTTACTGAGGAGTTCAAAGAAGGTGTGGATGAGGTTGGCAAGGGTACAAGGGCTGTGAGCAGGGTTGCCCGGGGTGGCTGGTGGCCTTGGTGAGGGGTCGCTGATGGGTGGATACCGATGTGCTGGGTGAGGGGTTTTGAGGGATTTTGAAGTGGCACTTGTACATTATGGTGTGGTTTACATGTATATCAGTTGGACCGACGATACCCCAGCAGTACCTTATGGATATACTTCATCCGCCTTCAACGACGTCTCATCATTCAATCTGCTTTCCTTTACATGCGCATGAGCTACGCCATCTTCTTTCTGTAACATCACACCAGTCCAATCTCTGCACAGCTTCCTTTGAAGCTTATTCTTCGTCATACCCCTATTGCCTCGATTTCCATAACTGCTTGTCTCTCTCTGATATGGGCACTCGGCTTTGAAGGAGGGATGTCGATATCCGGTAGATGACGTCTCAAAGCAGAGCGCTCGGCCATTCGAAAAGCGCCTGGTACGTAGCTCTGGGACAGACTCTCTTCCAGCATTCCATGTAACGAGACGCTGACTCGTGTCATCAACAATCTCATCATGGGTCACAATACGGCACTTGTCCATAAGTATAGTCCTTCAACCGAAAAATTCGCCAGAAACAAGCGACTCCCACGGCTTGCCTGTATCCCAGACACGCCTCATAAGCGTACTGACCTTGGGCACCTAACACACAGTAAGCGGGTGAGACCCTTTTTATCATCAGCACACAACTTACATGGTTCAGTCCAAAGCCCTCTACATTCCTCAACCGGTCCAGGATCTTCTCTCTCTGTCCTTCATCATGTGCGTCGCATCCAGCAGCAAACATTGGGAAGATCAAACAAGCTTCTGCTGTACTTCCCCTCCGAATTTTGTACAACAAACCTACAATCTCTCGAACCGCTTGCTGAACTTCGTGATCCATGGCCGGCTTACCTAGAACACGACGATACAAGTGAATCAATCCGGCCCAATGATACAATTCATTTGTCGCATATATCTCGGTTGCGTCCCACGCACCTTCAGATTCGGACGAAGTACTGGAGCGGTGGTTACATCCTTTACGGATGTTGCGATCCAGCACCCCATCTTCGAGCGCTTGGCGGATCTTGACTGCTTCTTCGACAACCTCGGGGCTAGGACTCCAGCCTTCTCTAACGTTGCCTTCTTCGTCAATGCGCCGGGGTTCACAACGCTTCGCTAGTTCGGAAACACGGGCGAGGGATCCTATGCAACGTATTGTAAAGCCCATCAGACAATCAATTTCGAAGTCTTCGTCTGCCGAGGCGTTTTCACTGGACCAATAGGACGAACCGAGGGGCGTGTCGTTCTTGTTCCCACTCAATGAGCCGAGAACGTCGAGGTATGCGAACCACCGGGAAAGGAAGTATGCCACACGATCATGCCGGCCCATTCCCTTCGGTCCACCGCGCTGGATGATCATTTGGCGTGCCATGGTTAGATGGTTTTGCCAGGATACGGGTACTTCGAATGTACCCGAACATATGATCTCCAGACTTGCCATCATTATGACTGCTGCTAGAGTACTGTCTGATATAGCTTTTGGGTCGTTGTTGAGCGCTTCACGCAGTTTAGGAAACACATCTTGTACCCAGACTGCGATGCGATTTGAAGGCTCTGGATGGTTAAGCATACGTGCGCGGTGTGCCGCACTGTATGCGAGGAGAAGATTCATTATGTTCTCGTCTTGTACAGCCACTGCTGACGTCAGTGGTAATTTTTGGAAATTGCTACGCACTTACTCTCTGGTAGGATTTCGCGAAATGGGTTTCGCTCGCAGTCATGGTTTACAAGGACACGCGCTGTATGGTTGATAAAATGATGGAAGTACAAGAGGTTCATCTGATTCTCCATAAGCAAAGGCGGTAGCGGCTCAAGAGATTTTGAAATCCTGATCGGAACCGGCTTTGCGTAATATCCTCCACTCTCGAAGGCCATATCCTTGCCGTAGGGCTCTGCACTACCATACGGTGTGTCGTCACCAAAGCCCATTGTGTCACTCTGTGGACTGAATATAGCAATAGCCGAAAAGTCGTTATTCCTCGGAGTATCGGTGTCAGGGAGTCCCAGGTCATAGCCGTAGGTTGTGAAAGCAGAATCAGCAATTGGATACTGTCGACCCCGCTCAGCCCCCACGTTGGATGGACCTGGCCTCTTCTTTGGAAGATCATTGATCAGGGACTGGACTGACACACGACGTAAATCGGGCGGTGACTGTGCGGAGTTTTGTGGTGTCAATGATGTCTGCACAACGTTCCCTTCAGAACCGACTGACAATGGTGTCAGAGGCATGACTGGATATGGACTATAAGGTAATGGCGAGCCTGTATCCAAATCTGCAGGAAAATCATACTTCTGGCGTTTGCTCATGGGATCTACTGAACCTGAGAGTGGCGGTGGCATCGCAGTATCATTGGGAGTAAAGCCAATATCACTGGAGTTGGTAGCATCTGAGATAGATGCGTGAAATTGTGCGTGAGTATAGGGTGTAGAGGCTAGTATGTCGCTTTGGAAGTAAAGGCCATCGTTTGCAGCGTCATTGCGGTTGGAAGCTTGCGGCATATTCCGCGTCAAGTCTGGATCAAAAGCTTGTGTCGACGACCTGGGTGGGGAGATTTGGGACCTTGATCGCGCATGGTGTGGCCGCGTGTATGTCTCGGGGTTGGACGAGAAAACATTATCTTCAAACGTAAAGGTCGACTCATACGGACTGCCGGACGCTGCGCTCGAAGCATCGGACCCGGTACCCCTTCTGTCTTTCTTTGAGCGGCCTCCCCAATTCAGTCTAATACTGTAATCGCATGTTTCCCCCTGGCGTTCGCAGTTGGTACATCGTGGTTTCTCTTCGCCACTACAAGCAGTTATTAACAGCACATCATGAGGCGTCGAAGCAACACGTCTTACCATTTTACCTTTCGAGCTTTACATGGCCTGTGTTGAGTGAGCACGAATGAGTAAGTTCTAGAGACCTGGGGTACTACCAGCAGCCGTTTCGCGATCTTTTCTTCGGCTCAACACCGGGCTTCTTCGGTCGAGGCATGGCGCTGTCGGTTGACGGATAACACAAAGATATTGCAGACGACGGCTATAACTAATGTCTTTACAGGTGTGTGTGCAGTCAAGACAACGCCATATGAAGCTAACTCGGCAGGCTGAGGACGCCCTTTGGATGATGACGAGCAGCAGTGCACCCGAGTTCCGAATACTAGGATGTTGGGTCGGCTGTACCGCATGTATGCATCTAGCGTGCTCTGACAAGCGACAACATTGCTGATGTGGTGAGGGTATGTATATGATCGCTTATCTTGCGTAGCGAGGTTCAAATGTAGGTTCTCCGTTCCGAGTGGAGAACGAGGTGGAAGTAGGAACGATAAGCCCCCGCACTTTGCAGCGCGCTCCAATCGCAACCTTGAAACCTCAATGCTTCATGCTAAGTGGGGCTGGACGATATCGGCAAGATCGACTCGGAACGAACTTTTCTCATTCCGCTGGGAATCTCATCGTTGTAATGATAAATGATGACTTTAGCTCTTTGGCGCGTTACTGAATTCTGTAATGGATATGTTTTTCGGCCACTGCCTGATGGAAGGCTGGAATATTTGCCCGCCGTCAGCACAGTCATACAGGCACAATCGATCATCTGTGTCTTTCGAAGAATGAATAAGAGAAGAAGATAAAAAGTGCACCGTGATTGATTCACGTATCTGAGCAGATACTGCAGCGAACTGCCAATTATCGACATACTAGATAATTCGTGACGCTCTCAAGATGGGCGTTTCGCCTTGTACATGTATATCGTACAGCTTGTAAAAGTGAACAATTTACACTGCTAGCGCTCATTGCTAGAGACCGCTCTCAAGGTAGAGGCTTCTGACATGGCTCGAGTGGTAGAATTGGATTGTGTTGAGCTCACACGCGAGTCGACCGAAATGACAGACGGGCTGGCGTACGTGTCAGGTCGTTCGTCTTCGTCCTCGTCGTTCCTGTTCATCATCTCTTCATCTTCATCCTGGCTTTCCTGATCTGTGCTTGCAGCTTCGGCTTCGAGGGCAGTCATACGTCTGACAAACTCATTTTGCAGTTCCTTGAGCCAAGCAGTAAGAACCTCACCTTCTAACACCCCTGTGTGGGCTTGGATGAGATGTTCTTTGAGATTTAGGACGAGTTTACGCCGCTTTTCTCTGAGCACAGTCCCGGATGCTTTCTTCCTTTGCAGCATATGTCGCTCGACCTTCTGCGCAACTAAGGTGGCATGCTCCACAATCCCAGGTGGAAGTGGGACGACGCGCGCAAGCGTTAGACCATAATGTACCTCCTGCACAATCCCTTGAGTCGTTTTGTAAAGCATTGTCATGCTGTGTGGATCTTCCATCTGAAAGGGTAAGTGGTTTGGCCTAGGCAGGACAGAAATGATCTCACTTCTACCGCCAAATGCAGGTTCTGGACTCCGACACGATCACCCATGATTATTGCAAGGTCCTTGAAGTGAGTCGCAAACCATACCAGAGCCTATTGACATATTAGCAAGATGCAGAGATAAGATAGACATACGTACTCGGCTCGAAACAAGGGCTTCCGCGATGGCTAAGGCGATAGCTAAGCCATCTCTAGTGCTGGTACCACGACCCAATTCATCAATCAAGACCCTTTATGTTATCAGTACTGTCGATATACGAATGGAGTCTAATCACCCACAAGCTACGCCGGTCAACATTACGTAGGATGAAAGCGATCTCTTTCATCTCTGCGGCAAATGTAGATACATTGGTTTCGATGTTATCATCCATGCCCAATCTAGCAAACAACTGGTGTAGAATGGGAAACGAGCCGTAATTGGCAGGGACGCTGGATCCGGTTAGCACCTAGAGACATACCATGAAATTCGAAGGGTAGGTACTAAGAGCCGATTTGAGCCATGATAGTCATTAGAGCGACCGATCTTATGTAGGTGCTTTTTCCACTCATATTGCAACCAGTGACTATCTGAAACCTTGTCTGTTGCGTCGCGTAAACATCGTTTGGGACGAATTTACTCTGCATGATCTTCTCCTTGATCGGGTGTCGTCCCGCTTCGATAGCTAGCGTATCAGTAAGTCGTGGCTGAGCTGAGGACATGTTAGCACAATGTGCATTAGGCACTATAGACTTGAGTTTGCTTACTATATTTGTTTACTGTAACCAAATGCGCGAATGCCGTAACCTACTACCCATGAGCTTTATCGACACCATAGATTGCTCAATCATATATACCATATCTAGCATCGCTACTGCTTCGCAGATCTTGAACATGATGGACATATGACTACGGACCTTGTCGATAAGAGCCTCAACTGCTTCATCGCCTAGTGAATATCAGTAACCATACTGCATGGTGTTCGTAGCTTTAGCTGTACTCATGAGAATGACTTCTTGGTGCGAAACAGCAATCTTGGCGCCGTTAGTAAAACCCATATCAACTATACATAACCACGTGCTTTCTGGTTACGCTTCATGAGCTCTAGTGTCTGGCACTCGATACTCTTCTTGCGACGAATCACGTTGGTGAATACTGGAGGTAGTACTTTGCCTTCCAACTCGGACGTTGCAATTTTCATGTAGAACTGGCGCGCTGTGTCATATTTGAGGTCGAGTCGAATATCGTGCTCCTCTTCTTGAAGTCAGCGAGTGTGTTTGCCGTAAGAACAGACTGTGTTTTACGACTGAGCTCATTTGAGTGTTGATACGCATCTTCTGTGGCTTCCTTATAAGTAGTACGCGCAACGTCAAGTAGACCATTGACTCCTGATTTTACGGCATATGTGCGCTGATTCCTCAGTTCGAGAGGCTGCCTTGCGTACGTGGTGTCTTCGTTGATGACGTGATCGATCAACTCTTGTACAGGCGCGACGTTCTCTGGTGCACAAATCTCGCGAATGTTATTCAACATTACAGACTTAGTTCCAGTAAGGGCTTCGAAGACAGGCCGTACGGAGTTTATGAACTGCTTGAGCATGATGATGTGATTGATAGACTGCTCCGTTGTCTGAAGAGTTGGCTTGCTTGGTGTGATGATTAGCGCGGTCAGTATGCGGTCAGCATCGAGGAAATTTTTCAGCGCTGCCTGTGTTGCAAAGAATAGCTCTTCCTTTTTGGTCAGATCGTCCACTGCAGCGTATCGCGTGTTGAGTACTTCTGGATCAGTAAGTGGTTGTAAAATATTGCTCCGGAGGAGCCGTGCGCCCATGGGTGTCGACGTTTCGTTAAGAAGGCCGAACAAACAATCTTTTGACTTCGGATCACGGAGATTCTGGACCAGTTCGAGCGAGTAGATAGTGGACACATCGATCATCATCGATCCTTCTGACGGCTCATATCTCATCCGGAGCGAGTGAAGGGAGAAGACCATACCCATACCCAGATCAATGTACTTGAGCGCCTGTGAAATTAGCCATAGTATGCGCAAATGGGTGGGAAGGACACTCACTGCTGCCATGCAGCACACTGCATAGTAGTTGCCAGTGACGGAGACCTTGATAGCTTCGACATCCTCTTTAAAAGCTAGAGATTGAATGTACTCGTATCCAGTCGACTCAGCCCAATAGCGCCGATCAAGTAGAGTCAACTTGCTGCCGATATCCTCAAGGTTCTCTTCAATGATAGAGAAGAGCTTCGACCTAGGACTCGCTGCAGTAGAGACGATCAGAATCTCGGAAGGGCCGTAGACCTTCAGTTTATGGACAGTTCGGACGAAAGTCTGGCTGTCGCAGATTTGACAGAGTACTGCTTCTGCTGTGTCAAGGTTCACGAAGGCCAGACCAACGGTAGGTGAAATCCCCCGAGACTCGGCAATAGCACAGACAACATTCTGAGCCTCGACTCTAGCGATAGTAGAGGCACCGGTTCTTGGTCGTGCAGTCGAGGGCCTACCTGTGTTTCTGCGGGTACCTGGACGGGACGTAGTGATGGTTATATAGTCACCATATCCGTACGACGTAGACGCAGAGGTGCTCTGTGAGGTCGAGGACCTTGGTGGGTGGAACATGATTGTTGGTGCTGTGAGATTAGCCGTTGAGCATTTGCGTGAATCATGAGCTTCAGTGACTGAAAGGTGTCGCTGCTAGAGCTGAGACGAAAGGCGGAACAAGAGAAGGCAAGCGCGTCGCCCACAGGGAAACAGCTTAGCGCGCTGCCCCACTACTACTAGCGCGTCCATTATCGATAACACCTAGAAATTATTTTCCCAATCCCATAGCAGTGAGGGCGTTCAAGCAGAAGACAGCTTCAACGCTTTGCCTATTAACTCCGGTTTCGTACTGCAAAGTATTTGAAAGATGGCGACCCAGTACCCACCTCCGTCAAAACGTCAGAAACGGGAGCAAGCCGAGATTGCACGCCAACAACAAGACATTGACACTACGATACCCGATGGCACTGTACGAGTGCGCTTCGTCGACCAAGCCACAGGCGAGAGTGGCAGTATCCCAGTGCTCACTGTACCGTTATCGCAAGCGTCGACGAAGAATCTTGAGCTCTTGCTCAACAACCTGAAGGACCAAGCCGATGATCAGATACCGTACCGCTTCTTCCCCGATGGCGCGACGGAGGCGCTTGCCGACAAGGACGATTTATACAACGCATTGGTCAAGCCTGGCAAAGCGTCAGCGGAAAACGAGATAGTACTTCAATATGCGCCGCAAGCAGTCTTTCGAGTCAAAGCTGTTTCACGTTGCTCGGCAGCAGTTTCGGGCCACGGTGACAACATTCTAACAGTCAACTTCTCGCCAATTAGCTCGAGCAGAATGGCGAGTGGTAGTGGAGACAAGACGGTGCGGGTATGGGACTGTGACACAGGAACACCAGTGCACACGATGAAGGGGCACACAAGATGGGTTCTAGCAGTTAGCTACTCGCCCGACGGCTCTCTGCTTGCTTCCGGTGGCTACGACAACGAGGTGCGGATATGGGATCCAAACACCGGAAAGCAGATCGGACCTGCTCTCAAAGGTCATACCAGCTTCATCACGTCACTCTCCTGGGAGCCCTACCACCTACAAGAGGCTGGCCGGCCACGAGTTGCGTCTTCGTCAAAAGACGGCACAGTAAGAGTGTGGGATGCGGTAGGCGGCCGAATCGACTATGCTCTATCTGGTCACAAGGGCAGTGTGACATGCGTTAAGTGGGGTGGTACTGGACGGATATACACCTCGTCTCACGACAAGACCATCAAGGTCTGGGATGCTGCGAAGGGCACGCTTGTCGATACCCTATCAGGACACGCGCATTGGGTCAATCATCTTGCACTTTCAACAGACTTTGTCTTGCGTACATCGTATCACGACCATACACGCAAGGTACCTTCTAGCCCTGAGGAGAAGCTCGCCAAAGCCAAGGCGCGCTTTGAGAAAGCTGCTACCATCAACGGAGAAATAGTGGAACGCTTAGCGACTGCTTCAGAGGACTGTACAATCATATTGTGGACGCCTCTGACCAGCAAGAAGCCAGTTACAAGAATGACAGGTCACCAAAAGCAGATCAACCAGGTCACCTTCTCACCAGACGGTGCACTCCTAGCGTCAGCGGCATGGGACAACCACGTAAAACTATGGTCAGCACGAGACGGAAAATTCCTCAACACGCTCAGGGCACACGTCGGCCCAGTATACATGACCTGCTTCTCTGCGGACAGCCGACTGTTAGCAAGCTGCAGTAAGGACACGACGCTGAAGGTGTGGGACATGAGGACTGGCAAACTAAAGGAGGATTTGCCTGGGCACAAGGATCAGGTGTTTGCGTTGGATTGGAGTCCAGATGGTGAAAGGGTTGGGAGTGGTGGTGCCGACAAGCAAGTGCGGATATGGAGCAATTGATTGGGACCCGATCAAAGTAGGATGGTAGAAGCTGAAATGATACCCCCTGGTGCGAGTACAATTGAGTTTTTGCCCAGAAGTAAGCGTGAGCTTCAATATCTGCAATTCCTGGAACTAGGACTTGGTATATGCCTTTGAGAACGCTACAAGTTGGAAGTGAGGCTGAAGCGGTGGCTAATGTGGTGGCTGACGTGGCGTGAGTGGGTCGCTCGGTGAACTGCCTGCTGCCTCGATCGCCCGGATATCGGCATCCCCGCAATTATCATGCCAAGCCGTCAAAAGCTGCCTTTCGCAGTGGCCTGACACACGCACAACTGCGGGCACACACGACGTCATCGCAGGAAAGCATTCGATCATGCACGGGGCCTGCTATTCATCACGGATCTTCGGCCCTGCAGCTGTAAATGATTCGCGTGCAGCGTGCCAAGTGGAGCTTCAAGGACAGGTTATGCGACGTTCCCTTGCTTGTACCTACGTCAATCGTGAATAGAACATAACATTCCCTGTCTTTGCGCTTTTCCTGTTTCCTCCCAATGCGACAGGTTTCACGAAGCTTCCCAAGACTTACGATTTCTCACGGCTAATGAATTCACGACTTTACCCCGCCGCCAACCACTAATTGCACAGGTCAGCCCCTCGCTACGAACGACCTTGACCAGCACCGACGCAAGTCACTACTCACTGCTCCATCATGTCCGGCGTCGAGGACGTGGACGCCCAGCGTAGAAACTACCGACGGCCGCACAATGCGCATAATCCAATACCCACAGTCCAAAAATACCGCGAAGAGAAGCAGCGTAGAGAAGACGCATACGGCCATGCAGATGGCGCGAGTAACGAACCAAGTACACGAGATCGGCTGGGGGACGCCGTCAACGTCTTCAGGCATGGTAAAGACGTAGAGTTGGATAACGACGGCAATGGACCATATCCAGTCAGAAACAAGAACATCGAGCTAGACGAGCCGATTGCAGACGATCACGCCGGAAAGAACACGCCCGAGAAGAAGGATCAGAATCTAGCGAAAGACCAGGACAGCGAAGATGGATTGCAGGACACAACGGAGGACGGCATGTCCTCGTCAGACCCTAAGCAGGCCCGGAAGGATATGAAGAAGTTCAAAGCCGATGGTGCAGATCGCGAAGTCACGGATCCCATTACCCATCTACCTATTCAAATCCACGACTACACAGACCGAGAGCTGAAGAGCACTGCAAAGAATCCACCACCTGTAGGGTCAGATCCACGCACGATGACTGGCAAAGACGCCATCAACAAGAGCGACGAGCATCTCAATGATGAGTGGCAAGAATCACAGGATTCACATATTGGTATGCAGGCATTGTTCCCGCCTCCGTCCTTCGATAGGACACGAAGCGAGATCACAACCGTCTATATGCAGGCTGTAACTGTTGGTGTGGGAGCAGCTGCAATCAGCTTGATGTTGGTGAACACACTGTTCTGGCCTACGCGCCACGCGACCGGCTGGGGAAGACAGTTGTGGAAGGCCACTGAACTCAGCACTATGGCAGTCGTCTCTGCGGCCATCATACTCTTCATGCGACAGTGGTCAGAGAACAAGATCAAAAATGTGTGGGATGCTGAGGTCTGGCAGGCGGAAAGACAAAGAGGTCAGAAACTGGCCAAGACTCAAACTGCTGAAAGTACGCAGTGGTTGAACTCGTTGTTTGCGTCCATATGGCCATTGATCAATCCGGATCTGTTTACCAGCATTTCAGATACACTCGAGGTACAGAATCCACAGCACACTCAATATACAAGCTAACTTTTGCAGGATGTCATGCAAGCCTCTCTCCCCAGTATGGTCCGTATGGTCGCTGTCGAAGACCTTGGTCAAGGTAGCGAGGCCCTTCGCATCCTTGGTGTCCGATGGCTTCCTACAGGCGGGGCTGCCAGATCTGTAGGCTCCGATGGAAACTTGAAGTCTCCTGACCAAGAGAAGGGCGACCGGACTGTCGAGGATAGCGATGATAACGGCCAAGGCCAAGATGACCAACCACAACAGGACACAATGGAGGCTGAAGATGGAGATTTCGTAAATGTGGAACTTGCCTTCGCATACAGACCATCCACAGGAAAGGGTATCAAGTCACGCGCCAAACATGCTCATTTATTGTTGGCATTTTACATGCCAGGCAATATCAAGATACGTAAGTTTTGCGTTCCCAGATGGCACTCATTTGCTTACACATTTTAGCTGTCTGGGTCGATCTCGCTGGTGTAGTTGGCGTTATGCGCTTCCGTCTGCAGCTCTGTCCTGATCCTCCGTTCTTTTCAGTTTGTACCATGGCCTTCATGGGCCAGCCCAAAGTGACGCTATCGTGTGTACCACTCATCAAGAAAGGACCAAATCTCATGGACGTGCCTCTAATCTCAAGCTTCGTGCAATCATCCATGGATGCAGCACTGGCCGAGTATGTCGCACCCAAATCTCTTACCTTGGACCTCAAAGATATGTTGATGGGCGACGACTTCAAGAAGGACACAGTCGCACAGGGTGTTATCATGGTGCGTATCAAATACGCATTCGACTTTAAAGAGGGCGATACCAAGATCGGTCCTTTTGGTGGTTCTGCAGACCCTTATGTGAGCGTGGGATGGGCCAAGTTCGGAAAGCCGCTTTGGTCGACGCGTGTTCTCCAGCAAAACATGAATCCCCACTGGGACGAACACTGCTTTGTCTGTGTCACCTTTGACCAGTTGAACGTAGATGAGAAGCTAAGGCTGCAGTTGTGGGATTCCGACCGTTCCACTGCTGACGACGACCTGGGACGTATAGAGGTGGACCTCAAAGAGTTGATGAAGAGTGATGAGACAAATGGAAAAATGCACGACCGAGAAGATGGTTTCAGAGCACTCAAGAGCGGAAATGACATGCCTGGAAAACTGAGCTGGAGCTTGGGTTATTTCTCGAAAACCAGAATCACCGATGACCAGCTTGCTATGCAAGACGAAGACCCCGATGTTGAGAACATAGACCAGTTGAAAAAGAAGATGTACAAGGAGGCAGAGGACAAACTTCGGGAGGCGAGCGAGGATCACCGAAACGAAGTGGAACAGCAAAAGTCTGAAGAGTTCAAGAACCGCCAAGATCAACTCATCATCGCGTCCCCACCTTCTGAAGACTATCCGTCAGGTATCCTCAGCATCCAGATCCACCAGATTACTGGCTTGGAATTGGAAACGCTGAACAAACAGAAAGACTCTGCGAACGCAGAGGCAACAGATGAAGAAGAGGAAGGCGACAGCTTACCCTCTGCATATTGCACCATCATTCTCAATCACAAGAAAATCTTCAAAACGCGCACCAAGCCGAAGAACTCGAAGCCATTCTTCAACGCTGGCTGCGAGCGCTTCATTCGAGATGTTCGCAATACCGAAGTACACATTGCCGTTCGTGATGCTCGTATACACGAAGACGACGCCTTGCTCGGTATTGTCTACCTGCCTCTGGAAAGAGTATTTCACAAGCGCAGCCAGATCAACCACATGTTTCCCCTTGCTGGAGGTGTAGGATATGGCCGCATAAGAATCTCCATGGTCTTCCGAAGTGTGCAGGTACAACTACCAAGAAATATGCTGGGCTGGGACTACGGAACTGTGGATATCAAACCCTCTGTAAAGGCTATTGACGTGCCGGAGGACCTAAAGCCCCTTCGACTCAAGGTCCGCACGCCATTGGAACGCGCAAAGCTTCACTCGCGAGGACGGAATGGTAAGGTCCACTCAGAAGAGGGACAGACTATCTGGACTCCGAGGAAGGATAGATGCATTCGCCTCCCTGTGCGGGCACGCTACTGTGCGCCTCTTGTCTTCGAGTTTAGACAGGATGCTACTTTCAGAGACCACACCCCAGGCTTTGGCATCCTATGGCTCAAGGATATTCCCGATAACGAGGAACAGACAGTACGCGTCACTATCTGGAAAGGTGACCTGGAGCGCGCAGAGAATAACGTGCTTGATTCGTATGGTGAGAAGCTGGGCGAGATCGAAGTAACATTGACGTTTTGGTCTGGCTTATCAGGATACCACGAGAAACTTGCAAAGGGCGACAAGCACATTACCAATGTCATGGAGGTTCTTGATGTTACCAATGATCAGGAGTGGTCCGATTGGGATGATTCAGATGGCGATAAACCTGGAATCAACGACAACAAGGACACCGAAAGCGACAGCTCATCTTCGGACAGTTCGGATTCGGAAGACGACGGTGAGGACGACAGCGGTAGTAAGAAATTCATCCCAGACTTTCTCCAAGACGGTGGCAAAAGAATCGACTCGAAGCTGAGCATGGAGGGCAAGAGTGGTCCTATCAGCAAGATGAAAGATTACAAGGAGAATATGCACCAGCTACATCGTAAGAACAGGGGCATGATGCAGTGGAAGGGTCCACGAACATTGGCCTGGATGAAGCATGTCGGCGACCGTGGAAAGAAGAAAGTGGGAAACATGTTCCATCACCACGAGAGGAGTGGAGGGGGTGTTGAGACAGAGGCTTGAGATCATGTTCTTATCACATAGCGTGCGCGTCCGGCGTTAACTCATACGGTCTTATGTACACTAATAGTATTCATTTGTAATGAAGGACTAGGTTGGCTTACTCTCAACCCAGTCACAAATCTCCGCAAAGTCACTTGCCCATACAACACCCCACTCGTCAGCGTCTTTATAGTCCTTTAATCGCAGACATGATATACCTAACCTTGTCAATGCTTCTGCAAGTTTTGCCTGTGAACTTCCCATGGGGCTGTCTCGAATACAAATACCCAGATCAGCTGCCAGTAAGCATTCGATATCTGTCCAGCTATCGCCCACATACACCTTTTGGCCCTTCAGCTCCTGCAACCGCTCCATTCTCTCGAGTTTGTCTCCGCTAGACATGACGAGGCTTTCACAATTGGGGGCAGCTGGGACGATTGCGCCCGTAGATGGGTCTCCAGACTCTATGTTTTCAAGTTCATTGGAGAAGATAGATTTGCTAGGTAGATCAACCGTACCCGAGGCACTAAGGCAGGACTGAATGAAGTGGCGCGACCAATTGACACTGAGAAGCGTCAAACCATCGTCCACGCGGTCATGACGAACATGCCTGGAGAATCCAAGGAAACCACTCCGTACTTCTACCGCACGTGAGTCGATAGCCTGTTTTGCCCCAGCTTCTATAGCTTCCTTCGTCAAGCCGGCGAAGATACCGGATGAAGATACGCGGTGGAGACTACGCTGTTCTACGGGTTTCATTTGGGCAAGAAGGTGCTTCTCCCCCGATACTGTGGTTGGTAGCTTGCCGTCTGGCGCGACTTGGGATAGTGTAGCTGTGTAATCGTCCATGTAAGCTTTCGAGACATCGTTCCAGCGGTCCTGGGTGGGGAAACCAGGATTTGCGGCGGCGGATATGTTGACGAGGGCATCTAGTGTGTCTTTTTTGGTGATGGTGCCGTCCCAGTCGAGGATCCAGTGTATTGGCGAGGCTTTGTTAGCTGGAAATTTGATAGAGGTGGACATGGTGGTGTATGGTGAGACAGTTGAGGGGATTGCAATTCGCGATGGACGGGCTGTAGCAAGCACGGATAGGGTGCGGCCGAGTGTATGTTGAGACATGCGACGAAAGATGTTTGTTAGCAGGGCTGATGTCTGAGATGGTTGCTGTTGGCCTAGAGCATTTCTAGGTGTGGCTGCGAGCGACACCACCTGGGCAGTTCCGTCTTCGGCAGCCCCCACCGCTGCAAGCCTCCAGGGGCGCGATAAACTAACAGAGCGGGGACGTAAGACACTGTATGGTAGCTGTGCACACGACTTTTCGTGTGTGGTATCACGGAAAGTCGCACAAGGTCATGGCAGTACATGACGAATACAGGCTATCGGAGCCGACCTTATGGTGGTGCTGTCGGAGTTTGCGATGCTGTGATTGCTCGAGCAGGCGGGAAAATGGCGCAACGCGTCAAGACACGAAGAAGAGGTAACTTTTACCGGCAACGACGCGCCATGTCTATCACGTCGGTGCAACCTCATCACCAAACTTTGATTCCTCCCTGTTTGCGCATTCTCGCGATTCTTTCCCGTCGCCGCTCGCAGCAGACCAGCGCACCATGTTCCTCCGGCGGCCATGAGCCAATGGCAGCGGCGCTATATGCATAACCCGCCCGCAACCGAGGCGCTCGTTGGTCGCATTCCTCTAAAGGCATCTTGAGGCGATAACACCAGTTGCTCTTACGAAGGCTGTCTCCTAAGTACAGTTGGAGGCGATACACGGCACAACCCTCAACCAAGGCTGAAAATAAGAAGCCCGCCGCATCTGCTCTTGTCTCTTGCATCCTCAACTCACACTCCTGAGCAACCACGATAGTCTTCCCCACTACCCCACGTTAGCATCAACACTGTCCTCCATCATGGCTCCAGGCGCGATTCACAACGACACTGCTGCAGCGAATGGAAATGGCACCGCCCTGAAGCCAACAGCCCGCTCTTTCCACCCTACAGGCACCCCAGATCCCTCCAAGTACCATGCGTCGTCGTCGCAGGCGGCCATCAAGTCAGAGGCCGACTTCGCAGCGCACAACTACCACCCTCTTCCCATTGGTATGCACTCAACACGTGTTCTTCTGGAGACATGAATAACACAGTCCAGTATTCTCAAGAGCAAGCGGATGCAGCGTCTGGGACCCTGAGGGCAAGCACTATCTCGACTTCCTCTCCGCCTACAGTGCCGTCAACCAGGGCCACTGCCACCCCGAGCTTGTCAAGGCTCTCACTGAGCAAGCTTCGCGACTAACCCTCAGCAGTCGCGCCTTCTACAACGATGTCTTCCCGCGCTTCGCTGAGTATGCCACCAAGTTGTTCGGCTTCGACATGATCCTGCCCATGAACACTGGTGCCGAAGCGGTCGAGACGGCTGTCAAGGTCGCACGCAAATGGGCATACAAAGTCAAGGGTGTCCCGCAGAACGAGGCGTTGGTTTTCTCTGTAGAGGAGAACTTCCACGGACGGACAGTATGCATTCTCGCTCATCTTTTAAACCTCAACTAACACTATAGTAGTTTGCCGCAATTACCATGTCCACCGACCCCGAATCTCGCGACAACTACGGTCCCTACCTACCAGGTATTGGAAGTGTATGCCCCGCCACTGGCAAGCCAATACGCTACAACAACATCGACGATGCGCGAGAGGCATTTGAGAAGCATGGAAAGAACCTGGCTGCCTTCCTGGTCGAGCCCATCCAGGGCGAAGCCGGTATCGTCGTGCCAGATGACAACTACCTTCGGGAAATCAGGGCACTTTGCGACAAGCACAACGTCCTGCTCATCTGCGACGAGATCCAAACAGGTATCGCGCGGACAGGCAAAATGCTCTGCCATGAGTGGAGTGGCATCAAACCTGATTTGGTCTTGTTGGGCAAGGCCATCTCAGGTGGCATGTACCCCGTCTCGTGCGTTCTCGGCTCCAAGGAGGTAATGCTTACTATCGAGCCTGGTACTCACGGTTCAACATATGGCGGTAACCCACTTGGCTCTGCTGTCGCGATCCGGGCTCTTGAGCTTATTCAAGAAGAGAACATGGTTGAGCGCGCCGAAACATTGGGCAACAAGTTCCGAGAGGGTCTCAAGAACATCAACAACCCCATGATCAAGATCATTCGCGGCAAGGGTCTGTTGAACGCCATTGTGATTGACGAAAGCAAGACGAACGGACATAGCGCGTGGGATCTCTGCATGCTCTGCAAAGAGAAGGGATTACTGGTAGGAAGAGCCCTCAAAATTATGCATATGAAAGAGATTGACGGTGCTGACTCTGATGGACAGGCGAAACCCACACACCAGAACATTATCCGCCTTGCGCCGCCGCTGGTCATCACTGAGGAGGAGATTGAGTCGGCTTTGTCCATCATCAAGGAGGCTATGGAGGAGCTGCCAAACCTGAAAGGTGAGAAGGAGAAGGAAGTGCTCACTTCAGCTGTCGGACTTGAGAAGAACGTCCACATCGGAGTGGACAACTAGGAACGTGGTTTAGTTTCTTACGATACCCCATGAGATTGCCTCGACGCTATGACCGCTACGAACCTGTAAATAGATCGTACTTGCGCTGTTATGCCATTACAGAAATGTCTACATAGCGCGAGGCTCGGCACTATGACGGTTCCGGAGCATCTGACGGACTAGATATCATGCTAAGAGATGACATGATCTTGTCGTGCATCGGACACCATTGACTTGATTACTCCTCTTTCAAACTCTCCATCGTCACTACTAAATGTGCAGTAAGCATACTCGCATCGGCATCCACGCTTGTGGCTGTTGCTAGTGCTGATTGCAACGTAACGCCTCACTATTGAGATGAAGCCCAACAGCAAGCTTCTCTAAGTATCTTGCGATGAGGCTCCAGCTATGGAGCCGGAGCTTTACAACTTGACAATCGAGTGCTTCAGATGATGTGGTGGCTTGGCTCGGTGCATAGCGACATGGTCATGGTGTTGTTCCTCGTCCTTCACTCCTAGGTACTTAAGTAAGGTCCGTATCGCGGCGTAATCGATGGCTACTACACATCTTACGCCCTCTGCTTGCACAACCTCCGGCCTCTTACTATAGTATAACCACCGACACTGGCTACGGACCTTTTTCAGCACCGAGAAGCTTTCTATTGAGAAGCTTTCTATGCGTCAGACACAGGACTCGCAGCCACGTGCGCCCACATGAGCCGACGGACCGATACTTAGTCCGAAGCGTGCGGAAGGGGAGGGGTGCCAGACGTTCTGTGCTGCATGCGCTCCAACGGCTGCGGGAAACGTTTCATTTACAAGCGCTGTGAGTTACATGTACCATATGGCAATATCGCGGATGCGTACTGCCACTTTGTAGATCAATGGATTAGATGAATCTTAGCAAGGTTGACGCCCGGCAAGTCGAACAAACAACAGACAGCCTCGTGTGTTCGGGAGCTCACACTATACACGCTCGGATACCGTATCTCAACCAATACTGCAGTCATGGCCGCGATGTGCCCAGCTGAAGGGAAACCTCGTCCGTGCAGCCAGGTGACGGGCACGACTAATCCACATGTCGGCATGTCGGGCCTAGGCCATGCTTTTTGCCCCCGTTTCATCGACAAGCGATGGCCCCACTGTTGTCCGATCGTGTCAACAAGCCTTTACGACATCGAATCCACTGGCAGCAATTTCAAAGCAACAGTCGAGGAGACGCCAAAGCAAAATCACGGCCTTCGCGCGTCCATGTAGAGCGCATTTGTCATCCGAAGCGCATTCTCCTCACCGGTCTGCAGTGTCGTGGAGTTGCTGCAGTACTAATATCAGGCTCTTCGGGACATCGGGTCGCATTATGTCCCGAAGGAATCGAATATTCTTGATGCTAGCACCCCGGATTATAATGTGCATCCATTCGTACAAGCCGTTCATTGGTGAATTTTATCTCCGTTAGGACCACGCGCTAGCTATTGAGCGGTGCATGCACTGATTTCATGACTGCCTCCGAGGGCATATAGACTAGTAATTGCCTGCCACTCGCAAACATGTCATCTCGCGACACCTCGTGGCGTTGGTCATTCCTTTCATTCACAGCTAATACGGTCGTCAACCTTACAACTTAATAGTGACGTTCAGGAAAACGGTTGCCGAGCATTTTTTCTTCTCATCATCGGCCCTACAAAACGATCACCGCGATCCTTCCTCGGTCTTCGGAAATCAGCCGCTAAGCCGCCATGGCGAAATCACCTTCAACGTCATCGCTGGATGAGAACGAGAAAGAGAAGGATTTTGGCCTTGTAGATCCGCAAGCTGCAGCAGAGGACCCGACAGAGTACGAGCCGATACGGACAGAACCCAAAGAAAAGGGTTTCGAAGTACAAGACGGTCACAGCAATTCAAGAGGCACGCTAGCGAGATTGCAGTCCAGCACAAGCGCGTACTCGGAAGCAAGCGATAGCGAATCTAATGCGACAAAGTCAATACGGAAAAAGAAGCCATTTTACAAACGACTTAATTTGTTGAAGAATAACCCACCACCGATTCCAAAAGAGCGCAAAGTATCTCCGGAGTACACTGCGGGCTTTTTCAGTCGACTTTCGTGGCAATGGATGCAACCCTTGATGAGAGTGGGCTACAAGCGCCCATTGGAAAAGAACGATATTTGGACGGTTAACCCCGACCGGAGTGCAGAAGTCTTAGCAAACAAATTGGAAGCTGCGTTCAAGAGGCGGAGAGCAGAAGGCAAGGAGAGGCCTCTGCTGGGTGCCATGTTCGAAACATTCAAATGGGAGTTTATTATTGGAGGAACATGCCAACTATCCGCATCCGTCATTCAAGCTGTCGCTCCTTTCGTCCTACGCTACTTGATCAACTTCGCTGTTCGCGCTTACGTCGCTGAGCGCAGTGATGCTCCGGCGCCAAATATCGGCGAGGGTATCGGTTTAGTCATTGGAATCACCGCTATGCAATTTTTGCAGAGTTTAGCCACGAACCACTTCATGTACCGTGGTATGATGATTGGTGGAGAAGCTAGGGGTGTCCTGATTGCACTAATCTTCAACAAGGCGATGAAGTTATCAGGGAGAGCCAAAGCAGGTGGCGAGGCTGTCCTCGAGGCACCACCACCTGACATCAAGCCAGGAAGCGAAGCCGAAGTGAAATGGTATAAAAAGATACTGAAGAAGAAGGAGAAAAAGCAGCAATCGCCCAAGACTGCTGCAGGTGTGGCAGGTGACGGTGAGGGTTGGGGCAATGGGCGAATCGTCAATTTGATGTCTACCGACACTTACCGTATCGATCAAGCCAGCGGTTTCTTCCATATGATCTGGACCGCTCCTATCGGTATACTGATTACGACTGCTCTGCTCCTTGTCAACCTGACGTACAGCGCTCTCCCTGGTCTTGGTCTCATTCTCATTGCTATGCCCCTCCTTGGCCGCGCGGTCAAGACACTGTTCCGTCGAAGGGTTGCCATCAACAAGATTACTGACCAGCGTGTAAGCTTGACCCAAGAGATTCTGCAAGGCGTTCGGTTCGTCAAGTACTTTGGATGGGAAACGAGTTTCCTAGAGCGCATTCAGACGATCAGGCAGAAGGAGATTCATGGCATTCAGATCTTGCTCACGATCCGAAATGCTGTTCTTTCCGTCGGAATGTCCATGCCTGTCTTCGCTTCGATGATCTCATTCATCACCTACTCCCAGGTCAACAGCAATCTCAATCCCGCACCAATTTTCTCATCGCTAGCTTTATTCAACTCTATGCGTATCCCCCTCAACTTCTTGCCACTCGTCATTGGCCAAGTGATCGACGCAAACGCTTCTGTCAAACGTATCCAAGAATTTTTGTTAGCCGAAGAAGCGGAAGAGAGTGGAAAGTGGGATTATGACGCCAAGGACGCTGTGACGCTGAAGGGCGCAAACTTCACCTGGGAGCGTCATCCTACTCAGGATGCGGAAGAGGGGGCAGGTGGACCGCCAGGAAAGAAGCCGACTAAGCAGGAGAAGAAGGAGACCAAGGCTAATGCGAAGCTAGCACAGAGCAGTGGTGAGACAACACCTTCCGATGCCATCGCTGTGGAGGAGGAGAAACCTTTTGAGATTAAGGGGTTGAACCTCAACATTGGACGAAACGAGCTTGTGGCTATCATCGGAGGCGTAGGCTCTGGAAAGAGTTCGTTGCTTGCAGCTCTCGCAGGAGACATGCGTAAAACTAGTGGCGAGGTCATCTTTGGTGCCTCCCGTGCTTTTTGCCCGCAGTATGCTTGGATTCAAAACGCCACGGTACGAGAGAATATCATCTTCGGCAAGGAATTCAACAGGAAATGGTACGACCAGGTCGTGGATGCCTGTGCCCTACGCCCTGACCTGAACATGCTACCGCATAACGATGCGACGGAGATTGGAGAGCGTGGTATTACAGTGTCTGGTGGCCAGAAGCAGCGTATGAATATTGCTCGAGCCATCTACTTCAACGCGGACATCATCCTCATGGATGACCCTCTGAGTGCTGTCGACGCACACGTCGGTCGTCACATCATGGACAACGCCATCTGCGGTCTGCTCAAAGACAAGTGCCGTATTCTTGCTACTCATCAGCTCCACGTACTCAGCCGTTGCGATAGGATCATCTGGGTGGACCAAGGAGAGGTCAAGGCCATCGATACTTTTGATAACCTCATGGCACAGAATGCGGACTTTGTACAGGTCATGAGCACAACTGCCAAGGAGGAGGAGAAGGAAAAGGACGTCGAAGTCAATGAGGACGAGGTCGAAGCAGAGGTCAAGAGCACCAAGAAGCAGAGGAAACAGAAGAAACAGGCGGCGCTGATGCAACAGGAAGAGCGCGCAACCAAGAGCGTCAGCTGGGAAGTCTGGATCGAGTACATCAAAGCCGGAGGTGGCATCTGGGTCGGCCCACTTGTCTTCATCCTCCTCGTTCTATCCCAAGGCGCCAACATCGTCACTTCACTTTGGCTATCCTACTGGACATCCGATAAATTTGGTTACTCCGAGGGTGCATACATTGGCGCATACGCAGCTTTCGGTTTCAGTCAAGCGCTCTTCATGTTCTTCTTCTCCTTCTCAGTATCCATCTTCGGTACTAGAGCTGGCAAAGTCATGTTGCACCGAGCCATCACCCGTGTGCTCCGCGCGCCCATGTCCTTTTTCGATACCACGCCACTGGGACGCATTACGAATCGCTTTAGTAAGGACATTGACGTTATGGATAACACCATTACGGATGCTATTCGCATGTACTTTTTGACGCTCGCCATGATCATATCGTAAGTTGTGCAGTTTACAGATGTAAACGCCTGGGAGGATTTGAGCTAACATGGATGACAGTGTTTTCATTCTCATCATCTCGTACTACTACTACTATGCCATCGCCCTAGGTCCCCTATTCATCATGTTCATGTTCTCGGCAGCCTTCTACCGGTCCTCTGCTCGCGAGGTCAAGCGCCACGAAGCTGTTCTTCGTAGCACAGTGTTCTCGCGCTTCGGCGAAGCCGTCATGGGCACCCCGACCATCCGTGCGTACGGTCTACAGGATCAATTCTCCAAGTCGGTTCGCGATGCCGTAGACGACATGAACAGCGCCTACTACCTTACATTTGCCAACCAACGCTGGCTGAGTGTTCGTCTAGACATTGTTGGTATCCTGCTCGTCTTCACGACTGGTATCCTGGTTGTTACGAGCCGTTTCTCCGTCGATCCTAGCATCGCTGGCTTAGTCCTGTCATACATTCTCACTATTGTGCAGATGATTCAGTTTACAGTCCGCCAGCTTGCTGAGGTGGAGAACAACATGAACTCGACCGAACGCATCCATCACTACGGAAGTCAACTTGAAGAAGAAGCGCCTCTGCACATGGGTGAGGTACGCCCCACCTGGCCCGAGCACGGCGAGATTGTCTTTGACAACGTGGAGATGCGATACCGCGATGGGCTACCCTTGGTGCTCAAGGGCTTGAGCATGCACGTCCGCGCTGGTGAGCGTATTGGTGTTGTTGGTCGTACTGGAGCGGGTAAATCTTCCATCATGTCGGCTTTGTTCCGATTGCAAGAGCTGTCAGGTGGCTCGATTGTAATTGATGGCGTGGATATTGGCAAGATTGGTCTTCACGACTTGCGCTCTAAGCTGGCCATTATCCCACAGGACCCGACGCTCTTCAAGGGAACCATCCGATCCAACTTGGATCCTTTCCACGAACATTCCGACCTGGAGCTTTGGTCGGCCTTGCGCCAGGCTGATCTTGTTTCCAACGAGCAAACCATGGACGACCATTCTGGCAGGATACACCTCGACAGTGTGGTTGAGGAAGAGGGTCTCAATTTCTCTCTAGGTCAGAGACAGTTGATGGCTCTAGCTCGTGCACTTGTTCGTGGTTCGCAGATTATTGTCTGTGATGAAGCTACTAGTTCCGTCGACTTTGAGACGGATGCCAAGATTCAGCAAACGGTAAGAACTGCGTCATCAACCGGTGCTACAGGACACATGAGCTAACGTTCAACAACAGATTGTGGATGGGTTTAAAGGCAAGACGCTGCTGTGCATTGCCCATCGACTAAAGACCAGTAAGTGAATCGATGTACCTACTGCATGCGGACTTGCGACTAACATGCGGCAGTTATCAACTATGACAGGATTTGCGTCATGGACGCAGGGCTGATTGCAGAGCTCGACTCGCCGCTAAATCTTTACGACCAAGGCGGAATTTTCAAGGGCATGTGCGACCGATCCGGCATCAAGAGAGAAGAAATCGCAGGTGCAGCGAACTAGAAGTTTGGGATGACGGAGTTTTGATTGGACGAGGGCGGGTACACGGCCCAGAGCGTAGGCTAATGATGCGGCTATTCTTGGGGGGGGGTAGCAGGAAGCAAGCAAACGCGCACCTTGATAGTTGCGCATGGCATGGCATGGCGTCGGCGCGGCATTTCTGATCGGGCAGCATTGGGGACTTTTGCGATAAGAAAAAAGTGATAATTCATAGAGCTGGCTGCTTTTCAGCTCAATACAAATAACCTTGTCGACGAACGTTGGAGGCTTGTAAAGAAAACTATCGAAGAGTCTATCGACGAGTCTATACAGCGCCAGCCTGGGCCTAGATGGCTGTCGGCAAGCGCGAGATCATATGACATGATTGTGGCCAGGCTGGGGGGGAGGCGTTGGTACTACTATGGCGCGCATCGCGCATTTGACAGCATCATAGTACCGTAGTCGCTAGGAACAGTAGCTCTGTAGGACAAGCGATGCTTGCCAGCAGTTTGCATTAGCGGGGTGTTGGCTTGAGCGGAACGCACGTGCGCGGCTCGTTGAAGCGACAGTACCCTCATTGCGGCAACTCATCATTCGTGCGTTATCTAATCTCAGGCTCCCCTTACCGTCTCCAGATCGTATCGTTCGCGTGGGCGTATACCGGCGTATCTGCTTTCGTATGGGTTCCGGAGGATTGCATAGACTTTACCTTTGTGTTTGCTGCGCCGCTCGAGTGGGTGCTGTAGCGGTTTCACGCGCCGCTAGCTGGTCAAGATAACAGTGGGCTATTCGGACACGTCCAGAGTAACAGTTGGATCATTATCAACGATTTTAAAGATCGATCGAGAGGCACAACTGCGATGACTGTCTCTATGGTAGGCTTATGCATTTCAATAGACGGGCTCAACGACCAACAAGTGCGGTGTTTTCCAAGCGCGGGAGCGAAACAAGAAAAAAAGTTTCGCCTTCTCGAATGCTTCGTGCTGGTGCATGACAGACAAGCTGCGACCAAGGCTCGCGGCCAGGTGCTCCGCGTGCATCGGGCGGCCCAAAGATTGGATGCAGCAGAGGTTTTATGCGCGCTTTAGCCGGAGGGGGCTTAGCGACTCAACAGCCAAGATGAGCCAAACTCCAGTCGCGCAGCACGGATCTAGGCCTGCGAGGCTGCTAACCCCTTGTGATGTAAGTCGACGACCTGCCAGGCACGCTGTAATCAATCTAGCGGGCCTTCAGCGGCGTCAAATGCTAGTGCTGTGGCGGGGGACGTGGGCGACGAGGGCGATGGGGGCAGAAGAGGGGAGGGCAGAGCAAGGGGGAAGAAGACACTGGGCTGGGACGTGCAAGAGCAATGGCAAGCGATGGCGAGTGAGTGGAAAGTTGAGAGGCGACGAAGATCAGGGACGTCAGCCAGCAGCTATGCTCAACGCAGCGCGACAAGCCGGTATGATGTTGCAGGGACAAGGCTCCGAACGGCCTAGCGGCCCCGACGATTGACCCTAGCTCTGAACTCAGCTTTCACACAGACCTTGTCCACCAGACGGCATGGGCCTGGGGTGCGTGCAGTGCAGCGACGAGGGAGCACTTCACAATTCACTTCATATCTCTGCTCCTCCCGCCCGCGACCACACGCACACACGCACACGCTCCTTCCACTAGGCCGTCCGTCTGTTTCTTCTTCAGCTGTCTTCTACGTGCCCGTGATAGCACGCACCCGACGCACGCTCTCCCCTGGTGCACTGTTCGCTCCTTCCTCGTCGACGGCGATCCCCCCTTCCCGTTGCAACCATATCAGAACGACTCCTTCACCGTCGCCATATTACCACTGAATTCCCATGCTGCGCCTGTCGTGACGCAATCACCCCGACTGCAAAGAGTCGCACCACGTCCGGCCACTGCATCTGCCGTCTCCCGTCTCTGGCCGTCCCACGCGTCCTCCTGACGAGCTCACACTTCACGTCTTGCATTCCAAACGCCCCATCATTGCCAGCCTGAGACACTCCTTGCCTACGTCACAATGGCAGCAAACGAGAAGCACGAGCCCGTTACTTTCGGCGCCAGCGTGCTGCGCTCTCCCAGCCCACTAACCACGCCTTCGCAACCACTCCGCTCCCCGCCCTCCAACGACTCTACCATGTCGTCTGCCACCGCCAGCGCCGAACTCGCCGCCAAGAAAGAGTGGGCGGCCGACCCCTCCAACCCATACTCGGCCTTCTACAAGCACCCAGAGGCCCTCCGCGAGACGCGCCACTCCCTCAACGAGAGCGCGCCTCAGAGCAAGACACACCTCGGCGTCGGTGTCCACGAGCACGACCTCGAGGGCGGCGTCCCCCTCTCGGTAGCCTCGACACAGCAGCCATCCAAACACTCCGTCGATGGCCGCGTCAAGGAATGCACAATGTGGCCCACAAGGCAGGCTGTCCTGGACAAGCGGAAGTCGTACCAACGCAAGCGTGGTTGTGCCTTCTTCCGGAACTTGACCAACAAGCAGAGAATGTGGGCTAAGATCATCATCGCTCTTCTCGTAATAGGTGCTGCCGTTGGCCTTGGTGTCGGCATCTCGAGAGCTGTTGGTGGCGGTGTCTGGGCTGGCGATGGCCGATCAAAGGAGATCCCCCATGGCGACGGACACTGAGGTGTAGCTACTGCCGCAAAGCAATCGTACGTCACTTCCACCATCCTTCTATATCGTAACGCTACTAATCCTCTGACCAGAACCACCACCCGTCTCTTCGACCGCACACAATCACGACTTCGGCATATTTCGCTTCGGACAACATCCTTTCTCGATATCCCTTTTCATCTGTTATATTGTTTTTCCTTCGCGGTACTGTGCATATCACTCTGCCGCCTTTTCTGTGTGTCACGGCATCGAGTTTTTCCATGTCACTCGGGGGGTTTGGCGTACACATGGGGGCTTTTCTACTGGGTTGCATTCTATACATGCATTGGAGCGCCGGAGTATGAATGGGCGTTAGACATGTTAGTCGCGTACACCTGTCTGGGTATGCTATATGAGAAGAGAATCGAGCTTTGCCTCGGTTATGAGGCTGCTTCACGCACATTAAATCGTCTCTCATCATCTATCGCATATGTGTATACGCTGATAAGAACTACCAGACCTTGTTATGTGCAAGACTTTCGAGATGACATATGTGGACTCGGACATCTACAAAGATATTCACCAAACTTGAACCCCGTCGAGGTATCATCGGTTGCACAAGACCACGTGAACCTGCAAGACAAACGTCTGTCAGGTGCTATTTTTGTACTATGCAACTTTAATTATTTGTTGGATAAGGGTACAGGGAGAGACCTACGACACCAAGGCTTACTCGTTGATACGCGTATTCATCTTACCGACTAGCACGGCTCTCCAGCGGGTAAGCCGGGTGGCTGAGATTGCCATACTGATATTCGTTTGCGTTTACTGAAACACTCATCAACACCCCCTTCCATGTAGTTTGAACCAACCTTTCCTTATTCCTTGATTCGCTCAACACATGGCGTGAACCATGTTTGTTTTCGGGCTGCCGCTATTTCGAGGTGATGGCTTCGCGTAGAATTACCGTGTTCCCGGACCATCCTTGATAAGAGTTGCTTTTCAGTGGTCGAGGCTGAGGGTCCATGGGCCTGAATCATGTTGGAAATGTGCTTTTAAAAGTCAAAAGGCGAATTTCTACGCATCGCTCTATCAATCTCCGTTGAACTAGGTCAACATCAAACGTATGTGTTATGGAATGTCGTAACACCATTATCAAGTTGAGAGGAAACATGGTTGCGTTGTATTTGCTGATTCGATAACTAATCGTACACTTTCATGTTGAGTGATAGTGTCGTAGGAATGACAGGCTCCACGACTACGAGTGAGAACATTGAAAGAACATGCCGGAACTCCAAAGACAGAAATACAATAAACTTATAATCGTTGATGATTTCCCTTTCGTAGAGATATTGGAGATTAGTTCTTTGCTACAATTCGTGTTTCTGCGGTATTATACAGAAGTCATTCGAGTGACATGTGCCGAGCCAGTCGACACAGTCATGATTAAAAGTGCAATCATTCATTCGAGGCCCTCCTCACATGTATGCAGCACCTCTCCTCCCCAATCTCCGTCCCTGCAATGCCTTCGCTGCGTTATCGTTGGGCTGTGCATCCCCAAACCCACATCCTCCATCTCGCTCTTGAGCAACAACCGGACCTGCGCATTTTCCACTCTTGAATCCACAACAAGCCGAAGCGCAATCAGCGTCTGATGTACAAGCACCAGTGATGAACTGCGTGCCGGCTCCCGCTGCGGCTCCAGCTCCAGCTCCCGCGTCACTGTTGGCAGGAGGTGTAGCAGGCGCAGCTGCATCTGGTTGCGCATCGGCACTGGCATTGCCACTTGCGCCGTTCAAAGCATTGTTGTTTGGTTGCGCGTCGCCGAAACCACATCCCTCTCCACGTTCGTTCGCTACGAATGGTGCCGCACACTTTCCTGATGTGAAGCCACAGCAGCCTGAGGCACATTCGGCGTCTGATGCACACTCGCCTGTAATGAACTGAGTGCCCTGAGCTGCGGCATAGAGTGACACTATCGAGGGAGTCAGTAAGAACGGACACGATTCGGTGCAAGGACCTTACGGTTGAGAAGAGCAAGAAGCTTGAAGATTGGCGCCATCTTGCTTGACGTTCTTGTTGCTTCGTTGGAGTATATGGTATATCAGATGAACTCTTGATGGTCTTCACCGAATACTATGATTGAATGACAGGTGTAATGTAGATTTTTCGACTGCCTTGATGTTGAGGATGTTTATCAGCATCCGATACATGACTCTATATATGTCCATCTCGACCGTAGGAAGGGAATCCTGAACTTGGCACAGGCAAAGTAGGCGCCAACTCGAAACGACAAAAGTTACTGCGCCTCGTTTATGCCCCAATGGGTAGCCACATCCGTTATGGCGATGAGGCGACACAGCGTGGAGCACGTTTTGAGCAATCTCTAGATAGACATGATACCGGCTACGACGTTTCGTGTCTAATTCCGTTTACGAATGGAGAACAAAAGCCGATAATCACGCCAGTGGTTTAGAAACGCAACTCCCAAAGAACATTATGCGTTTCCTCAATTCGTAGTAAGAGGTTGTTTAGGGAGAATGGAGAGAGGAGAGAAAGCGTCGTAAGCGAACCTATTAGCGTCCCACAGTCATCCCCACCCCACAGCTCAGCCTCCCCAGACTTTCTGCCTCGGAATGCCTCAACACATCTCAGGTTTCCGGACCGTTAGAAAACTGCAAGTCGGCCAATAGGGTATTTGTGGGCTGCCAAGATGATCGCCGACGGCATGAATGCAGCGGAAGGGGATCAGACCGAGAAGGTGTCGCATGTTGCGGCCTGGCGCTTGGAACGTCTGAGTTCCGAATGATCCTTACACATGGGGCTGCAGTTATCTATATGCGCATTATAGTGGTGATTTGGTATTCGATATATTTTCTTTCATCGACTGTGATTCGTATTCTTGATAAAACGTCAAGCAGCAGGCTTCTCCTACCTGAAAGAAAAAGCTCCTGTCGAAAAGGTAGCACGATATAACATCGAAGAGCAAATGGTAAAAACATCATACTAATTACTGGCTCAAGGTTACTTCTGGGCATGTACATCGATCGAATACTAAGCAACCCAGAAACTAGGTTCTCGAGACACCCTCTTATGTTCTCACCCTGAGCATGGTTGAACAGGATCTTGATAATATGTGTTGCAAGGCAGAGTACGTGCTTTTATCCCTGTTCAGCGCCAAGATAAGAGGTTATTCGACAACGAATTACGGTGCGTCGATTGAGGATGTGACAAGTAGAGATCCAGCTTCTTTGGAAGTGGTCACTTGAATGTCAAAATGGCATATGACATTTGAAGTCTAGTACTATTGACGTATTGGTGGGGTGAGATGTTGGCCGTTACCGACATCATGATGACTGGATTTAGAAGAGGGCAGGCTGATCAGGAAGGTTGCGATGGGTACGTGTCGTCCGGATGGTGAACTTCTAATGATTACACTAGTGTAGTATCTGTCAGTGAGCCTTGTACGTGGGATTAATGTCGACCTTCTAAGCAGCTGTCACAAGTTTAGTTCGAATGTAAATGGCAACATGGGGAGCAAACAAAACGAAGGGACTGCTCAGAGTAGGGTGCTCGATGCAGCCAGTCATAAGAGTCATGGTGGATGTTGGTCATCTCTGTTCATCAGTCCCAAGGCGCTTGGTAAATTTTGGAATAGGTGGTGGCTGTTTTGGTCGCATATCGCATGTCGCTTGCGAACAATTTGTCTCAGTTAGCAATGACCATATCCGTGATGGAGGTCAGCATGATGACATGGAGTTTATGGGAGACGTTTGCTAAATGATAGTGTGTAGTTACATCCGTTTCTGAAGGGGGGATTGGGAAGTAAGGTTGCAAGACTGGCAGGTTGATGTCGCTACCCAACTACCAGATGCCCTAAACCCCACTTATCAGGTACTGAAAATGCAGAAAACCCTCCAACGAAAGAAGAGACGATATTCTCGTACCGAACAACGAGCGGAACGGTCGAAAGCCATGCCAGGCACAGTTTTACATGTGCAGAGTGGTATACAACTTGGGGGCATGGCGGTGCTGGAGAACAGAAGAGGCCTGATACAAAAGAGAAAAGGGTATAGAACCAGCTATCAGAAGAAGATAGGTCGCAGCAAAAGTAAGTCGGACGATATAGGGCGCAACAAGCACACAGGACGAGTACGTTTTAGACAACAGGGGTTTCATGAGGAGCACCCTTCGATTAAAAGCGCAGCCCAACATGTCCGTTACCCCTGAGTGTTGTTGGTGTGTTATGCCGGGACGATCGAAGATCTATCGGGAAGTGGTATAAGTGCCGGCGAATTGTGTTCGCTGCGCTGCGTTCGTAGGAGGAGGAGCGGAACTGAGTGCCTTCCAAGCGACCTCGGCGGCTTCTTCTCGGGACTGTTCGAGGTAGCGGTAGTCTCGCCAGAGGTGCGCTCTGTATTCGCGGCCATTGATGAAGACACTGCTTGACCAGGCTGTCCGGATACCTGGGCAGCAGAGTCAGTCAAAGATAAGAGTGGTGGGGCATCATGTAGAGCGCGGGTGGCTACCTACCTCGTGGGTCGGAGTAATCCTGGAACTGAGGTTGGGCGATCTGGTTCGTGGCGCAGTAATCTGGGGACGTTTAGCTGGGAAGTTACGAGAGCAGTGGTGTGCGCACGCTGAAGCTTCTGGACGTAACTCTCCGGTGCTGCCATTTTGCGAGACGGGTTCGTGGGAGACGGTGAAAATGCGATGCTGTCGAGAAGTTTGGAGTGGGGTAGTGCCTTGTGAGTGGGGATTTGGATGATCAACTGTGTGTGCGAAGGCTGAGAAGAACACTTGCTCTAGCATATTTCCTTCTCTGTTTATAGTCCGACATGACCATCAGAGCCTCACTTTCGGTATCCTGTAGGAACCGGCCAGCGCTTTTGCCACACGACTGTTCTCAAAAAGATTCAGCCTGCAGCCGCCGTACCACATATGTGCTTGGGAACAAAGCATCAAGCTGATGCTATGCTGCGTTGGCAGGCCTACTTCCGCCATAATTGGCCGGCAGAAACACCATTGAGCGAGCAACTGCGGGGGTAGCGAGAACAGAACGCGGCAAGGCAGAAATTACGACCGCCAGAACCCGGTTCAGACACTATGACGGATTGTTGCGTGGTTTCGGCACCACAAGTTTGGGATGGGGAGACCAATGAGCTGATACGGATAAATTTTGGTGTTGAGTATGTTTACCTTGTTAAGCTTGGTTCAAGCGATGTGCTGGCACTGAAGGACGACGAGAAATGCTGCCATGCTAGTTTCTCAAGGCCGATGCAGTGCCAGATGTGTCTCGCAGATTGGCCCATAGTTCCATCGGCGTTCGGCCCGCTTACGGTTAGATGGACAAAGGGCCGTGCCGTTTCCGTACCGTATAGATGCCATCTGAAAGCGCGTCATCTTAGACACCATGCTCCTCCATGTGCTGAAGCTGCAAAGGTCGCATACGCAGCAATGCAACGTTAAGCGAAGGAACGTGGGATGGATTAGGGCAGCTCACGGCTCCAACTGGACCCACATGAGTGAGGTGGCATACGCGATTGCCCAGAGCGGGCGTGTCAATATCAATCAATGTGTTCCTGGCGTGAACCGCTCAGCCCTGCGATCTCCAGGTTCGTGCATTGAATGCAGCCCGTATCACATCAAATTTCTGCAGGCTATCCGGTTCCTGAATCGCTCGTGCTATGGCCATGGGTTTGGTGTACTTCCAAACACTCCGACACGCTGAACGCTAGCCAACTCTTCAACGCGGCACTTGTTCGGTATTCGCTTCTGGGCGCTTGAAGCGGAAGGCGCACCTGAATTGATCTACACCACGAGGCTCAAGGCGGGGTTAGCACACCCTCCATCTTCTCCTGCTCTGCGCTGGCAGTCGTTGTGTTGTTCATCGAACGCGTCCGAACTGCTGGAAGTGGTGGCTGTTGATGACTGTCAGTGACGTGTCGTACAGATTATATTGCGCTAGCCCAATCGACGCCACAATGCACGTGCGTAGAGCAATGCAAACCTTGGAAAATCTCGGGAGGCCCACAAATTTCGCGCCTTACAAGGTTATGCAAGTCAGGCATGTAGCTGTCGAGTTAGTTCCTGATGCGCGATTCCTGCAAGAGACGTGGACCACACGACCTTCTCCCGGCCTTCTGCGCCGCACCGAACCACGTGTAATTCCATGGCGGACGTCATCGCTTGCGCATGAACGGGCACTAGGCATTGCATTTCTGAGCTTAATCGAGTCTTCTCCACGCCTGCTTGGGTGTGTGAAGGCATGCATCACGTGTTGCTGCAGATGCCCTGTCGCAGAAATCCCAGCCACCAACAACACGCAGAGAATGTAGAACAGCCAACAGACAGGACAGCTCGATAAGACCGTAGTAGCGTCAGGGCTTCTGCGTTCACGCAATCGAATGACTACAGTAAGCAAGAGCAGTCCTGACGTCCTCGATTCTTTCGCGGTGATCTTGGCCCCTGATACGGCCACCTTCCTAAGTTGGGATAGAAGGAACCACATTCTATGCCAGAGTCAAAATTTGATATGCAGTCACCCTTGACATCAATCACTCAAGTCACGACAGTAGGAGCCTATCTTGGTGAGAGACAACTCAGAAAAAGTGGTTCTTGACAACTCGACCTGGTTCTTTCAGCCTCTTACGGCGCGTGTGACTGTCAGGTTTGATGGAAAGACTGACAAGTAGAGGAAGACAACAGAGAATGCATGTCCACAAAAACTTGGCATCTTTCTTGTCAGAATTGAATAAGTGTGGGCACTGAAAGCATACAGACATGTAAAGAAGGGTGTAGAAGTTTCATTGACTGAATTGCCAAGGATGGACAAACGAGTGGCTAGCCGATACATTATCAGACCCCACGCGCTATCTAGCTCTGTTGTAGCAAGCGTGCTTGCTTGCAGAGACCAACTTCTGGTACTCCTGAAAAGAGTCCGCTAGCAGCTCTTACGACCTATGAATGACTTGTCAGTTCAAGTAAAGCTCCTAGCGAACGACGACAATCTTACCATATTTGCATTACAGAGTCATATCCAGATCTAGCAGTTGCACTGGCAGCAGATAGTCATACCGCACCAGTTGCAAGGACAGCCAGGGTTGCATCGAGCCTCTAGATGGGCGCGCTTGATCATCTCGATACTATGCTCAGCAGGGTACTGGATGAGGTTCGACACTGGGGCAGGACTGCGGTTAAGAAGCTCACTGGGAGCAGCGCTGGCGAAAGAGAGGAGGGCGACGAGAGGAAGAGCGAGAGTAGTGAGCTGCATGGTAGTGATGTGAAAGTTTCTGTATGAACAATGGTAGGTTTGAAGTGAAGATGAATCGGTCACTGGGCTTGGTGGAGAGACGTGTTACCCAAAGAATGATTTATATATGTGCTGGAGATCTCGAGGTCTACATGTTCGTGGTCCGTACATCTTCGCATACCACAACGGACCGTGATACCGGCGAAGGGCCCACTTGCTGATGCTGCAGACATACTCCAAGTCTTCCAGCATACCCACGACCAGCATTCGGGTCGTCGGCGAGTCGACCTCAGGCTGAAGTCAAGTGTTCTTTCCAAGAACAGGAATAGTTTTATGCGTGTTGCTGATAAAGTCTACTGTTTACTGGTCGGCCATGTGATGAATGGTAGCCCATTCTCTCTAGCTGGTTGTGGCTGCCTGCACCAACAGCCGATCACGATGGGATCTGCAGACAGTGAGCTCAAATTTCCTCCCAATGGTGCGGATTATCGAAGAGAGCAACAGTATCGGCCGTACGCTGACCCCGGAGTTGCGTGGCCATGCGTCTGGAGATGCATTGCGGCATGATACTGGAACTGGTCAAGCTTTTCCAAGCTTAGCTTGTAAACGTTTACCTTCTTACATAGGCTACCACAATGAAGTACAACACTGATCGACATACAGACTTGCCGCCTGGAGGCAAGTCATCAGCTAAAGGGCAAAGAGAAAATGGTGTACCATGCTCCGAAGAGTATTGTTCGAGCTAGAGATGTAGTGTCTAAGCGATGCAACGCCACAGAAGGCTGGTTGGTGGACATTCTCTTCGGACTTCGTGTATCCGAAGCGATAGATGGTGAAGCACTAGATCCAAGCTTCCTGAGTATTCGCTATGTGTCCTGCTTTCCCAGCTAAATCTCCGCTCTTCGTACTCTAGTTAGAGCATTATGAACGGACGAAACTAAGAAAGTCTACTGGAGATTAGCAAATGAAGGGCAAGAAAGCCAGATAGATTCAGTATCTTCGAGGGACTTAATGCTGTGCCAGAAGACATGTCGCAGGCCAAATCCGGTATTTGAGCGCGTCGTTAACTATCATGGACTTGAATGATACTAGTTAGCGCCACAAACGAAGTCTGGGAAGCTTTCCCCGCCTGAAACCTCCTTAGGCCAACCGACTTGACGTTTCTAGCAGTAGCATAATGCGGTGCAACCGTAGTCAGCATCAATATAGCCTAAACTCCACGCACCGCAGAAGGCGCGGGCCGCCCCCAAGACTTGGCTATCGACGGGTACAACCGCTCGTGACCATTGCTGATGGTACTTCAATGCCTGAATACCGGAATCTGGAAAAGCGAGGTGTGCTGATCAAGATGGACGCAATTAAAAGGTGCATTAGCGCAAGGCGGCTCACGAGGAAACAAGCCGTCCAGTGGGTGTCAGCTTATATCCGATCAAGACTAGTATACGCACATTAGCGGGCTCCTGGGCTGATGGCATGTTGTTAATGCTTCAAAGTTAAGCAAACTCTGATCGAAGTTCGAGAAGTCAATGAAGGGGCGAGTGATGGCCTACGCTCGATTGTCGGACGACGCCTCGATAGAGAGTCCATACGAGAAAGCAGAACCATCTGAGTCACTGCTTCAGAACTCCGCTAGGTACTTTTCGTACAAGAACCTGTTCGGTGCTTCTCTTGTTCTGTGGATAGCAACGTTAGCCACGCTTGCTTGGGTGCTGGGTCAGAAGCCCTCGACCTACGGGAACCATGCTACAAATTCATTGCCATTTCCTCCAGGTATGCATCAAAGATGCAGGAAAAAATCATTGCACGCTTTGCTGATAAAGGGATCTAGTGCCGTCCCGCATGATCACTTTCGATCCAAACCCAAGATTTCACTATACAGCCAAAGATGCAGGAGAGTCCGCGTGGTCGGCTCTGATGCCCAGTATTATTCCCATGGCATGAACATCAGTGGAAAGACTGACAAGGAACTCATAGATGACGGAGGTATCATCTCTATAGCTAGTCCCCAAAGGTACCAGCTACCCGTGAGCTACAAGGATCGAAACGTCTCCGGCGCGGAAGTATATTCGATGTCCATGTTCCACCAGCTGCACTGCCTGGTCAGTTCCGCGCAGTAACAACAACGTCTATTCGCTGACACTGGAAGAACTCGATTCGTGTGCGGCTCGGAATATTGGAAGGCTTCATCAACGAGACTGTTGGCAACATACAAAGAAGGGATGTCTTTGCGCCGGAATCGCATGTGAACCACTGCTTTGACTACCTTCGCCAGGTAAGATTGTCCGCCTCTTCATGCACCAAGCGAGTGTTAGGGTGCTAACACAACGTCCAAAGGCTGTCATGTGCGCAGGAGATCTGTCTTTGGAGCACTCCGTTGTTCCAGATGAGTTCGGTTTCAACGGTTGGGGAACATCGCACCAATGTGCGGGTTGGGATGCGATGTGGGATATTGCGGTGCAACATCGATACGATCAGGGTATTAGGCAAGAAGCTGAAAGGAATAGATAGAGCAAATACATGCAGTTCCGAGTTTCAGTATCATGAACAGGAGTATTCCAAGGCTGCGTCATTGCTGGTAGATGAGGTCGGTAAGATTGAGTCCGGAAATTGCTGTCATCTGCGCTTTCTCCTTTTCGTGTGGGGTCCAATCTGTCTGCACACGCAACGTAGTCCAGGATGCAAGGCTCAGAGTTACCAATGACATTGAGTTTCGGTAGTATTTCGAACAGACAAAGCTTCTCGACCCTCAGTGTCAACCGGCGTTGCAGGGAACGGACATGAGCAGCGGAAACTGGAAGACATGAGTGATCCAATGAAGCGTGAATACCAAGCTGCGCGATCGACCCCAATGCGATTTCTTGTGAAACGCACCATCTCTGGCAAGTTGATCTTCGTCTTGGTGAATTGGTTCCAAGGCTACCGTTACGTTCGGGACGGGGCGGCCACGCAACGGCGGCGCCGCAACCTCAGAACTTGACGAGAGGTCTCGATGGTTGCTAGTAATGACGCCAACAGAAGTCGCTCGTGAGAACAGGTATTCTTATCGATATGTTACCGGCCAGCGTCGTATGGCGACGAATGAGAGTGGCGAGAAGTGAGGAGGCGAAACCCGCAGAGCCGCGGTGTGGCTGGGGGCAGCCAAAAATAGCTTACCAGCCTCCTCTTGTCCCACGCCGGGCCCGCCGACTTGCGCAACACCCAGCCTTCTGACAGCTACCGCCATCTCGGTCGGCTGGGTGACCCTGCGTCCTGGCTCGTGCTACTGGCTCATTGCCCGTTGCGGTGGGTCCAAGGGGCTTTGTAGGGCTGGATGACGGAGGGCTGGCATGTGGATTGTTTGCGGCCGGCGTACGTAGACTTGTGGATTCGGATTTGGAGAAGGCTAGAAGACGCTGGCGGCAGATGTAATTATGGCCAGAGGCGCAGAGGATATAAACACGGCTGTGGTACGCTCAACCAAAGTATCATTCAACAAGCATCTCATCTAGTCTACCATCGAAGTCTATCCTCACATCCTTCAACCTTAATCTATACACACTACAACAAGTACTCTCCATTCCCACAGCCAAGATGCAGTTCTCCATTATCTCCATCGTCGCCGCGCTCGCCGCCACTGCTACTGCCACCTACGTTCCTACCAACGGAACTGCCACCTCTGGTGCTTACTACCCCACTGGTACCGGTGCTGCTGCCCCTACCGGAGCCAGGCCAACCTCAACCCTCCCCTTCACTGGTGGAGCCGCAAACATTGGCAGCTCAGCCCTTGGTCTCATCGTAGCTGGTGGTGTCGCCATCGTAAGTTTACTCGACTATTAGAATCATACCAAAACAATGTACTAATCAAACTCTAGATGCTATAAACGCAACAAGGACGCTGCTTCGCTTCGATCTATAACTTCTTCTTCAATCACTATTCATTAATTCGGATTCAACATTGGCGCAAATGGTCACGGCGTTACTACGGAAACAAGGGTCTCGGGATGAGATAATCAGCATCACTGGCGCAACATAGAATTGGCGTACAGACACAAACGTGTGGAGGCATAGACTAGACTTGTGTATAGCAGAGAGCATGACCTGGGTATGGTCGAGTGTCAATAGTCTACGAAGAGATGAGCCGAGAGATGGACAGAATAGCCTAAGTGGCCGAATGAAAACAAGCATTTTCAAACATCTTTTGCAATTGCTTTGACCTGCATATGTGAAGGAAGGCCTTTCCTAGCTATGACATTGGGTGGTGACAGGGTGTGTAGAGTGGGGCTCTTAGACTTCTAGTTCAGGATGGCGTGAATGACGCGCGACGCGACTCCCGCGATCTGCAACTTTGGAACTTTACAAGCACACCAGTCACTTCTCCAACCCTGCGACGCTACGACTCCAATGGCCAAATCGGACGACATCTTGCTCAAGGGCGAGCCTTTGTACGTCTGCTACCTTCACCTCAGATGCAAATGCTAACAGTAACAGTGAGGATGCGTCGCCAGCACCATCTCGAGACGCTTCGGCATACAACCCACTACATGACTTTGTACTACCACCGGGTACCGAGCGACACTACTCACAACAGTTCGCCGACATGTACTTCTTACGGCTACAGCAACTGAAGAAGACGGTGAAGCAAAGGGCCGAGGATGCATGGCACGATTTCGAGGTATGCAACGGGATGCTGCTGGAATGCGAAAGCTCGTTATGCAGGACGGAATGATACTGACTCTGGGCAAGCTAGGTGGACAGACGGCGTCGTTTGTCGAGCGTGTGCTGGATGTGCGACAAGGCGAGCTTTGCTGGGTAGTGGGGACGGTATACATGGAAATGGCAGAGAAGCCCAATGTGTTGAACGACATTGAAAAAGATGTACGCTTCTCTCCCCACAAACACAAAGGATAGACTCTAACACTCGACAGCACTGGATAGCGGACCCTCCCCAGCGCGACACCTACGTATCTTCCACCGGCGCCGATGAGATGATGCTCGAAGACGAATCCGGTCGTCTACGCGTTACCGGCGAGCCTTTGCGCCAACATTTTGTCACCGGATGCATACTGGCGGCACTGGGCACCGAAGAAGCAGACGGCACATTCATGGTCATTGCAACCCAATGCGCAGATCTACCGAGACAACCGCCACGATGGGAACGTGACGATGTAGTGCTATCAAAGGAGAAGAAGAAGGCACCAAAGCGCGAGAGAGCTGGAAAACTTGCCATCGTCTCTGGTCTTGAGCTGACAGGTGCAGACGATGATGAGGTCTCGCTGGACCTGCTGGTGGAATACCTGACTGGCGAAGCTGCGGACCCAGCAACCCAAGCCGAATCTTCCAAGATAACACGACTTGTTATAGCTGGTGGTTCACTCGCAAAGGGATCTCCAATTCTGTCGCGAGAAGACTTTGCTGCGAAGAAGAGTGCAGCGAGACACTACGGATACGACGCTTCGTCTTATAACGCAGCACCTACTACACGCCTCGATGAGTTCCTCTGCGAAATCCTTCCCTCGCTCCCCATCACCATGCTGCCTGGTGCATCGGACCCCTCAAATGTCGCTCTGCCACAACAACCTCTCCACCCCGCTCTGTTCCCCAAGACACGCCTCTACGCCGAACCGCCGATAGAAACTAATACAACCCTGAACGGCTTTGACGCAGTGACAAACCCTTGGTTAGGCGATATCGACGGGTACCGCGTGCTAGGCACAGGTGGTCAGACAGTCAAGGACCTACTCAAATACGTCAACCGTGTCAAATCGATAGACGCCATGGAGATGATGTTGCGCTGGCGTTGCGTAGCACCCACAGCTCCAGACACACTGTGGTGCTACCCATTCCAGGACGACGACCCATTGATGTTGAAAGAGTGTCCGCACATGTACATTGCTGGCTGCCAAAAAAAGTTTGAGAAGAAGGTCATTGAAGGTCCTGCGGGACAAAAAGTATTACTCATCAGCGTACCCAAGTTTAGAACTTCGGGCAAGATTGTGCTGGTTGATATGGAGAGCTGGGACGTGGAAGTCGTCAGATTGGGGGCCAAAGGAGAAAAAGCTACGAAACAACGAATCGTGGTGAGTGGAGAGGACATGATGGAGGAGTAAGTTGCGGAAGCTGTGCAATTGATACCCGATCTGTTGACAACATGGCGATGCAAACAATGAAATGACATATACCTACACCATGGCTTTCTCGTTCAATTCCTTCATAACGTGCAACAGCCAATTACGTTTTTGACGTATATCGGAAATAAATCAGGTGCATTAGTCTCCACCTGCAGAAGAGGCACGGGAAGTGGGTACCGTACCATCGTCATAAATGCTTGGGTCTTGGACGATGTCATTCGGCAAAGCTTAATAGCGGGAATACCTGCTTCGCCAAAACGCATACTCGTACGATGATCAGCAACGTTTGAAACAGGGGGTCCTTTTGTCGTGATGTCAACACCACATGATTAGCAAAAATAGCTTATTGACGCGTCTTTCTGATGTAACGTGTATGCAGATGTTGAAGTGCGTGTGTGTGTGTGTGTGTGTGTGTGTGTGTGTG